AAAAATAAAAAAAAATAAAATAAATCTGTAAAAAGATGTCTCAGACAGTGTATATTTCTAAGAGATAAGTGGGACTTGAATCATGTATCTTGTTCCCAATTTCCAGCACAATTGTAATTGACCTGTGACCCTTGAGTGCATTACGGCTACATTTAAGCTAAGTTATTTCCTAAAGGTCCTTTCTCCCTTCCTTCTTCCTTCTCCTTCCCCCTCTCTCCTCTTTCCCCTTCTCCTAGTCTCTTCCTCAAATTCTTCCTCTTTCTCCTTTTTCTCCTCCTTCCCCTCTTCCTTATCTTCTCCTCCTCTTTCTCATCCTCCTCCTTTCCCTCCTTTTTCCTCTTCATCTTCTATGTCCTCCACCTCTTCCACTTTATCTTCCACCTGCTTCTCTTTTCTTCCCCTTTCTGTAGCAAAATACAGCCCAGGCTGACCTAGGCTGACCTTGAAGAATACAGTCTGCCTGTTCCAGCCTCTTTTTTCTTTTCCCATATCTCCCCATTCACAATACAGACCAGGCACAGTGACCTGGTCTGGGATGTGTGTGGGACAGGTGTGCTCTGCCTCCTCTTTCTATACAGTCAGCATGAGAACACACAGCCTGTGTTAAACAGCAGGTGGCCCTGGTCCAGCCTCTTAAATTCTGTAATTACAGGAGCACTACTCCACCTGACTGTTCCTTGTCCTTATTAGCTGTGCTTTGAGAATTTCAGATAAAAAGTTAGTCACACAGCGGTTCTGAAATAATTTAAATATAATTGTGCTAGATAGATTTTGTTGTCAAGCCGGCACACCTTGGTAGAGGAAGTCCCAGTTGGAGAATTGCCTCCACTTGGATGGACTGTGGCCATTTCTGTGGGAGTATTTTCTTGATTTTTGAGTAATGTGGGAGCACCCAGCCCAATGTGAATGGTGCCACCCCTAAGCAAGTTATTCTGTGTTTTATAAGAAAACAGTCTGAGCGTGGGGTAGGGGAGCAAGACAGTAAATAGCGTTCCTCCATGGCCTGTGCTTCAGCTCCTGCCTCCAGGTTCCTGCCCTGAGTTCCTACCTTGAGCTCTCTCACTGATGAAGTTTGCCCCAAGGAATGTAAGATAAAACAAACCATTTCCTCCCAAAGTTGGTATTGGTCAGAGTGTTTTGTCATGATAATGGAGATGCAAACTAGAACAATATTCAAAAATTTGCAGAAAGAATTATAAAGATATTTATTATTATATCTCTGCCATATACAGGCGTAAATCATGGTTTTGAGAGAGTTGAGGCAGGGTCTCCTGGTAGCCCCAGCTAGCCTTAAACTCGCTATGTAGACCACGCTCGTCTCAGTCTCACAAAGATCCTCCTACTTTTGTTTACTGAGTGCTCCAATTAAAAGCATGTGCCACGATGGCTACCTCTAGGTCATTCTTTTTCTTGTGCTTTTCCAAGTATTTTGTTTTATTTTTTGTTTACTCTATAATTAATGGTTTACAAACACTGGAGCAAATTTTCTTGAAATATTCTAAAAATCAGCAAATATATAGCCATTCTTTGATATCCTCAGAAACATTGCCTGAAACAGGAAATTATATGCATGTAGTTTATTGCAGAGCTAATTCCAGAATCAGGAGGAGCTTGGAATGAACACACCAGTAAGAAATTCTGTTTTCCAATTCTCACTGTAGACTCCAAGGGCATGATTGATTCTGAGAGTCTTGAGAATCCAACCAGAGCCCTGTGAGCTTGGTTACTGGTGGCACGGTGACTACCCCATCACAGTCCATAGATCTATTGACTGGACCAAGGGGAATAGAACACACTGATGGTTCCGTGCTTTCACTGTGTAACGTGTAGCCTGAAACTCCACTATTTCCATGATTTTCATGGTCTCAGAGAACCTCTTATGCCAGAAACCAAAAGCACTATGGTGAGCTTGAAATGGTGCCAGAGTCTGTGTAGCTGAGCTCCCTGCCGATTCGCTCTTGCAAGAATAGATGAAATCTAAATTGTGTGGGAGAATGTGATCAGTGAGGAGACACATCAGCCACATACACAGCGAACACATCAATCTCTGAAAACATAAAGCTCAATAACTCCCTTAAACACATATTTTAAAATATTATAAAAATATCCTTATGTTACTACCGTGATGGGCAACTGCAGCTGGGGGCATCATCTTAGAGAATATTATTAACAAGTTTATGGCCATCTCATTGATGTAGTAAACATTATAATTGCATTCATGTGTTTTATAGTCCTCTACCTCATGCTTAATTGTTCTTAGAATTTTCTAAAATGAACAATATTTCTAAGTCAGCTCCACTGATGCCTTGCTACATGAAGTATAAAATGTTTTCCCTGATTAAGTGTTTGCAATTGAAAAATGTGTAAGCACAGCCATGAGATTAGTTCCAGCACTCTGAGATCATAGAAAGGAAGCCAGTCCACAGATCACATAATTAATTATGAAATCTAAAATATGCCATGTGTTACACAGTGCCCCATTTCACTACCTTGAATAAGCTAATGTTCCAGGATCAATGAAGGGGCCATTGAAGCAAAAAAACAGAAAACTACCATTTTTGATATTGTGTTAATGATGTGTCAAATTATACAACGAATACTGATACAGAAGATGCAAACAAAAATGACAGCACTAGAACTCATGAAGATGAACTGCTCGCAAGACTGTGACTTCCTTTCCATCTGTGGAAACAGTACAACAGGCTACTTGAGGCAAATATTCAAGTAAAAATAAAATAATTAAAAATAAGTCATGAAATGATCCAATGACTATATTACATGGACCTAGGCAGCCTAGGCAGGGGCATATAGACTCAAGTGTCATCACCAAGACCCAAGCTGCCTGGCACAAGCATGTCAAGATTTTCTAGTGAAGAATTTATCATTCATCGTGTGACTTTTAGCAAACTGTTTAATGTCTTTTCTATCTGGCATACTAATTTTTAAAATGGACACAGTAGTATATTGATAACCACAGGCTGTTTTGATTATTCATCAAGTTAATGATAGTTACATGTTCATATTAACAAATGGGGACTGTATTGGTGAATTAATATTATGTTGCCCCAAGACCTGTGTTATGCATGGTTCTTGTCATAATCCAATTGTTAATAATACCTATATACTTATGAACATGGTTTAGTGGCAAGATTAAGTATACAGACTGCATCAACTAGCATTTATTCTGAAAGTCCAGGGTTTAAATAATATCTTCTATAACTCACAAAGAATATGTGCATAACTGTCTTG